TGAGTCCTAGTCCCAGTCTTTGGACTTGAGCCCCTCACTCTGTTTTTGACACCCTCTTATGGCTGCTGTATTCTCCCTAGCCAATACCAACAATGCCCAGGGCTTCCACCATGGCTTACCTACTGATGCCCCTAAAGCCCTTCCAGCAGTGATGTCGGGACTGGATCTGTGCGTCTAAACGCCTGCCGGTCATCTCTCTGGGACATTCCCATTCACTTCAAAACAATGTTCTTCCACCCCTTCCCATGAGTTCCAGTCTCCTTGGATGACACTATAAGCCAGAAGGTTCAAACCACCCTGGACACTTCTCTTGCTCCTGATGTCTGATCACCAAGAAGCCCACAGATTTGTTGCTTGGGCTTGATTTCTCACATCCCAGATCTCATTCCCACTCCCTAGCCCGGCCTCTCTTTATAACTAGGCTGTTTGAGGTGAGACTGGTATTCTTGCCCCAAGCTTCACTGACCGTCTTCTACAATCTAGGTTTTGTGTTGGCCTTTCATTCTCTTCTAAAATGTTCACCAGATCAGATGACTTCCTGATAAAAACCCTTCAATGATGTCCCATTGTTTCCCAACTTTCTTATGTTATGACTCTATCGTGGTCCCACTCTGAATAATGACACTCTCCTGCACTCAGAAGGAGCCACTAGCTGTTGGAGGTGACCAGCCTGGGGGTCTCAGTCTGCCAGGCTGAGCCCTGCAGCCCCAGGGTGGAGAGGGCAGGGCAGTATTTCAACACACCATATGGCACACTGGTTGGGAAGCTCTGGCTTAGCACACAGAGCTCACACTCCTTAGCTTGATATCTAACATCCCTGCTGGGCTACCTTTGCAACGCAGTGGTCTCCTTCTTTCATGTCTGCATGCAAATGAGCTCTGGGCTGAGCAAGTTGGAGAGTAGCTACATGGGGTCAGCAAACCCGAACCCTGAGGAATCTATTGGCATAGATTGATACCCCTGGGGACTCTGGCTACTTAGTTCTGTCCTAAGAAGGTCAATGATGGGTTTCTATGGAAAAATCACAAAGAAAACAAGATAAAGACAGTCTGCTTTTTTTTTTTTTATTACTCAGACCTTCTTTAATAGAGCAGGGCAGAAGGAGCTGGAAGGTATTCTTAACCAAAGGCATACAGGACATTTGCATTATCTTGGGATCTAGTGACAGAGAGAGGCACCGAGTCAGAGAGGACTTTCTCCCTGACTTTACATCACAGGGGACATTCAGAGAAAGATAGGGGCTGCATTCTCAAAGATGTTCCCCTGGGAATATCCTAAACTGACTGGAGAGCTTGAGGGAGGAAGGCGTGGGGTCTTAAAGTTATGCTTGGGGATAATCAACCAGTAAAACTCGGGGCTATCGATTGGTAACCACCCCATTGGTACCCACTAGAGGGAACTGTGAAAAATAGCTTAAGAAGCAACATCTTCAATTATGATACATTTGGCAACAAGGAAATCTAAGCATTTATAGCAAAGGCAAGGAGGGGTTAAGATTCTTTCTCCCACAAGGAGGAGTCCAGTTGCTAGTGTTGGTTGCTATTCAGTGTTACTATCCAAGAGCCCTGCAGGCTCCGATTATCTTTCTGCTGTCGCAAGATAGCTGCCACAGCTGCAAACATCATATTACTTTTCAAGACAAGATGGGGAAGCCTTTCTCCTACCAAGACTGTCTTTTCATGTCGAAAAGGAAAACTTGTGCAGTCTGCCCGTATATCTCATTGAAGAGAACATGGTCAGATGCCTCCATAGCAAATAAAGGGACAAGGAATGACCTTTATTGGCTTATGGCTGGTTCATGAGCCTAGGTCTGGGGGAAGAGCTTGCCTTTCTTGGTATCAGTCCAGATGCCAAAGTAGGGTTTTGTTATCAGGGAAGGAAGGCAGGGAAGAAAGGATGGATGTGTGCATAAAGAGCTCTTTGTACTGCTCCAATTCCCTCCCCCCATTACTGGGGATTAAACTCAGGGGCACTCTACCACACAGCCATATCCTTGACCTTTTCAATTTTGTGATAGGGCCTCACTCAGATGCTGAGGCTGGTCTCAAACTTGTAATCCTCCTACCTCAGCCTCCTGAGTCAATGGGACAACAGGCATGCACCACTGTACCCAGCTACTGCTCCAATTCTTAAAGATTTGTGGCTTTCTGATTCTAGAAGGTCTCTGCCTCCCTCTTGCCATCGGCTGAGTTCTATCCATCCTTGGAATTCCCCCTCTGGCATCTTCTCTGACCTGCATTCTCCAGAACCAGACAACCCTTCCTTGGAGTCACCAGCATGTCTGGTCACATTCCTGTCTTTGCCCTCATTCTCCTCCATGGCTATATTTATTTGGTGTCCCTATGGCCCAGGAGTGCTTGGGAGGAAGTGGTTACATTATATTCATCTTTGTGTCTACTGTCAGGCAGGCTTGGCACATAGTAAGTGTTCAGTGTTTGTGGAAGAGATGTTACATAAACAAATCCAAGATAGAAAATGATCATGTTTGCTCCCTCATCTTCAAGCATGAAGGCCTCTAAATATGCACGGTAGACAGCTATTCAGTCCAGCCACACCTGTTTACAGAGGATCCATTGTCTGCCAAGCACCAGGGGCAACAAAAGAGAAGTATAATACGGTTCCGTGGGATGAACGTTTGCACTGCGAAGATAACTAACAATACAAAATAGCATCTGATAAGTGTCTCATTAGAGTTCCAGGAGTGCAGTGACAGGGAGGAGACAGAAGACACAGGCACACGGATGGAATGGTAATTAAAAGCCACAGGTAGCCCAAATCTTAATTTAATCAACACATTCAACCTCCACCCATCGCCGACTTCTTCAGTGATAGAGGAGAAAAATGATCAGATTGGAATGTCATTTCCTCGGGTGCCCTGCCTATCTGTCAGTGCACCTGTGACCTAGTCGTCCAAGAAGGAAAACCAGGGAGAAAAAGGGACCTTGATAATTCATAGCTCAGTCAGCTCCCAAAGAGCTGAAAGCTGATGACGTCCTAACCAGCCATTTGAAGATCAAATGATTCCTTACTTCACAACTGGACTGGGGTGGAGGTTCTTGTTCAGGTGTGTTATTGGAGAAGATGTAACTAAAACCAAGAGGAAGGCACTGAAATGCACTAAGTGGGTACAGTTTTAGGCCCTTCGGTGCATCCAGCTATGTGTTTGCCTTGGGATGATGCCGAAAGTTTCCCAAACAATGGGGACACATCAAGAGCCTCCTGTGGGGGAACTTAACATGGGAAGGAGGGGCTGTGACAGTCTGCAGCTATTTATGAACTCTCCACAGGATGTTTCAAAATGCATAAAATAGAATATATAAGATTGGAAGGGAAGACCACTAGGTTGGAGAATAACTACAGAAGAGGTTTTTTTTTTTTTTTTAATGACCACACTTCCTCAGTGACTCTTTCAGTATCTGTGATCTCTTCTGCCAAAAAGTCACAGGTGTCGCTATTACCATTCCAGATTATTGCCTGCATTTCCCGTTGAAGGATATGAGGATATGTTCAATTTCAATTAGTGATTAGAGAAAATAAAGATGTGCTTTACCATCCAAGTTCACAGAGCTGGGTTAACAGCTGCTGTTCTGAGGTCCCTCTAGCACACGGCGACCAGGTTGAGAAGCAGGTCGGCCTGTGCTTCCTGGCCCTCAACGGGCCCAGGTCCAGGATATCCAGTCCTGCCTACTCAAGTATGTCACAGCTTACCTTCTGCTCCTAGAAAAAATATCTTAGGAAACAGGTTCAACAACAGGAAGAGAAAAAGAGCCCTATCAGGCTGAGGGTCTGATAAGACCTTTCCTAGGTTCTTTCCCATGAACCCTCCTTGTTCTGTGCTTCTCTAATCTGGTCATATTGTGTCTTCTGCGTTAGTACAGGCTGATCTTTGACATCCTCTTGGGGGGGTGCTGCCTCATAAGATGCAAATATTTCATAGAGAAGAAATGATTCAAGATGAGGAAATTCAAACTCCCCACCTGGGAAGCTGTCAGCTCATTGCACGTAATGGCTCTCTAGAAATAAAGGAGGGACACTGTGAGGCTTTTCAGAAAGGGGAATTTTGTTACCATTAAAATCCAAGTAAGGAACTCCTGTATATTTAAAAAAAAACAAACAAACAGATACAAAATTGTAATAATAAGTGACAGGGCCAGTTGCTCAGGGGGTATAATCTATAGTTCTCCATCCTATTTAAATGTAGTTCTTACCTAAGTGAGAAGTGTCGGGGTGGGGGTCCCGCAACGTTGGGAAGGCAGATCAGTATTTTATTGTTGGAAGAACTGAGTTCCCTGTCAACTTAGAAATAAGCATGCCAGGCACTAATTCCCCTTCAACAATTATGATACTGTATTCAGTATGTCTTTAAAGATTAGCTTCCACACCTGGACATGTTTTTTAAAAAAGTATAAAATCCATTTGACAATAGAAAAAAATCTACATCTAAGTGCTAAGTAATTAGAAATGTACCAGGTTATTTTTGGAAAAAAAAATTCTCAAATTAGATTCATAAGAGCAACAAATTCCAAAATATGGAGTTGTCACAGCTTCATATTAAAAGGCTTTTGACCGGTGACACTCATTTAGAAAACAAAAGAATAAAATTCAGAACACACCTTCTGGGTAGTTTTCCACTTGACTGTAAATCATATTTTTCTCAATCAGCATTTGTTTACTTGACTGTCAATCCAATTTTCCAAAATATGTCCTCGTATTTCAATTCTTGGATGAGCAGAGCACCTGTCCTGTTCTATGACACCTATTCCTGTGTTTTTTTTCTCTCTTGATTTGGAATTTCTGGAACAGGTCTTGGCATCTCCAGGGTCACGCTGGGCAATTACTAGGTTCTCAATAAACTAAATGAAATGGAATTCAAAGAAGTGTTGCTGGCTAGGGAAGATACAACAAATGACTTTTTCTTTCCTATTAAAACTGATCAGCAGTGTTAAAAGTTCTTTACCAGTAATATGAAAAGTAGATTAAAAAGAAAAACAGGGTTGGGGTTGTGGCTCAGTGGTAGAGCGCTTGCCTCGAAAGTGAGAGACTCTGGGTTCGATCCTCAGCAGCACAAAAAAAAAAATAAATAAATAAATAAAGATATTGTGTCCATGTACCACCAAAAAAATAAAAAATTTAAAAAACCAATAAGGCTTTAAACTTTGCAAATTACATAGAAGAGTCTAGGGAAAAGGTCTAAATGGGCAATGGAAAGATGAGAAGTTAAGAAAATCAAGTCTGCCAGAAACCTGAAGATGCTCAAGGTGCTGTTGATGCATAAATCACAAAATTTAATATGATAGTGACCTTCAATGCATATTGACTTGTGCAGTTTCCTCATCTGTAAAACAGAGGCAGGAGCAGTCCCTCCGTCTTGGGTGGTCACGGGAACTACATGCATGAGCCCACTGAGTGAAGCCCCTGGTGACAGTAGGAGTCAGTCACCATGGATGTCACACAGGGTGCTCAGGGCTTCTCACATAGCTAGTGTGAATAACAGAGGAAGCAGGGGGAAGGGGAAGGAGGTAGAAACATTCTGGAGTTTCAGTTCATAGCCTTTGCATGGCTTTCTGCTACAGGGGACAAGTGTCCCCAGCTCTTCCTGAGGCGGGCTTCCTCTCATCCCATAGGTCTCAGCTTCCACTCCTTGCTCAGATGCACCTTCCCAACTCCCACAGAATGGCTTCCCATGTTCTTCCCTCTTTGGCACGGTACTCTTTACCCTTAGAGCATTTAATACTGTGCATGCCGCCATATGCAATTGTCTGCCCAGCTCAGGAGTATCTCCACCACGGGACTGTTCCCTCCAGAGAGGCAGGAATGGGTTGTGTTCGCTGACTGGCATCAAGTCCTAGCAAAGTGTCCGGCACACACCACGGGCTCCGTGAACAAAAGGGTACCTCTTGTCACCTATGGAATGAAGCAGTATACAGAGGTTCCCGTTATAGACGAGGTTACTTCCAGCCAGCTTGGCAGCCACATGGTCCACAAGTCACTTGCCTTTCAAAAGCCCACCAGCATTTTGAAAAGTGGCCCTGTCCCCTCAGACTGGACTGTAACCGTATGTCTCCGAAGACTCTTTTAGGATCTCAGGGTTTGTGTGTTTTACCTCCAGAGTCTTTTACAACAGCCCTGTATCTCCACAGACTTCTTCTTTTTGACCAGGCTTACAAAGAAGGGGAGAGCGATGGAGGGGGAAGTTACCCTGAGAACAGCTGGGGTGTGAAGAGGGGGGGAAAAGAGAAAGCTGAGAGTTCACCATGCTTCTACTAAGTCTGCTTTTTGAGACTTCCTGGGGAGGCAGGAAGTACATCCTTAGGTCTCAAAGTTTGGGGGGGGGGTGTAATCAACAGTACCCTAACATCCTCAGGGGGTTTGGACACTCAGGGTAAAATGAAGGAATGGCCTGTGTGTTTAAAGTTCAAGGCCAGAGGTGGAGGAAAAAGTAGCAGTCCCAGAGCAGATCTCCTGGGGTTAGAAGGGGCACAAGCTGAGCTGAGGCAGGAGGACAAGGGGCAAGAGGAGGTCAAGTTCTGTTCTCAGAAAAAACTTGCATTTACAGTAGGTGGGTGTGTGGCAGCAGTCAGGTCCCGAGATGTTCCCAGCTGGGGCCTGCCTGCTGGTCAGCAGCTCCCTCCTACCCTGATGCATAAGCTCTCATGCTGAAAATTCACAAAAGTAGGGCAGGCGTCTCCTATCTTTCTATCTTATGGAATAGGAAATAGGCTGGGAGTGGGGGGGGTGGCTAGGAAACAGGCTGGGGGGGGGGGCAGGCAGCATGTGGGAAAAACCAGACAGCTTGCTTGACTTTTCTGTGATCGGCAGCAGAACACACGGAGCCAGCTCTGGAAGGGGAGAGGCTTCTGGGAAGGGCAAGCCTTACTGTGGCTCACTCCCGTCCTCACTCTGGCAGGAGGAGACTTTTCTCCAGGCCAGAAAGGACCAGGGAAGAGATGAGTGGGCAGGAACAAAAAATCTGCCTGCAGCTAACCCAAATTGTACTTGTGTATAAAACTCCTTCTTCAAGACACTTTGCTTACATGTGTTGGAAAAGCATTGTTATAACTTTTTTTGGGAGTAAGACACATTGCTGCTATCAGCCCAAACTGTCATCACAAATACTACAAATCAGTTGTTCAGATGTGGTGTCTTTGTGCAATGCTCAACTTGCACAACTGTATTAGGTGGCCCTTTCAGAAATCCAAAGTTGTAATGGGCTTTAATGGCATCCAACCTATGGCCTATCAGCAAAATGAAGAAGTGATTTCTGGGGTCCCTTTCAGGCAGTGTCTTTATTCATAAAGAATTTCCACTGGAGCTCTTGGTGGGGATTGTGATTTTTCATAGTCTGGTCACTCAGATGCACATTAATATTTGTGACCAGCTCCCCAAAGGCACCCATCCATCTCTTAGGACAATGCTCTGGGCAGTGTTTTTAAACATTTGTTTAAAATGCAGATGACTTAGCCCCAACCCAACATGGCTGGGATAGGATTCTTATGTCTATTTGAGAGAGTAATTTTGGTAGAAACAAAAGTCTGAGAATTGTCTTAGGGGAAGAAATTTGAATTTGCTTTATAACAAGCCTGAAATAGTTGTATCAGAGTCATCAAAAGCTTAACTTCCTCGCTCCAGTATCCTTATCAATCCTTTGCAAAAATCACTATACTTAATGCATTTATTTTTTTGCCGTGGCCAATTTGAGATGCACTGAATGGATGAAATGTAATTAACAGAAATGAAACAGATCTGTGTGTCAGAGAGGCAAAACCATTAAGCTTCAAGAGAAAGACTTAGCAGCATCTTGGTGTATTAAGTGTAACTCTAACTTGTAGATGACCAGTTCTCCTTAGCAGCCAAATTCTGAGCCTTTAACTAGCGTGCGTGCGTGCGTGTGTGTGTGTGTGTGTGTGTGTGTGTGTTGCTTGAAATTAAATGTTCCTACATCACATGGCTTTGGGGACCTCCAGTTCCAGCTCTGAGATAATTGTATGTACTTCTACCTCCTGATCATGACTGGGGCCTTCTAAGCCCACAGCCTGAGGACCTGGAACAGATCAGACTGAAATGAATATCTTAAAATTCCTGGGGGATCTGACCAGTTATTTTGGAAATAAATCTAGCTGCCTGCATTGCAAGCTTCCATTTGTCCAGAATTACCTAGCTCCTGGAAGCTGCCCACACCGTTACACTTGAGTTAAACTATTTTGAGCTCCACCCACACGCTACCCATTTTTAGCACGGTGGGACGGAGGCAAGCAGACCATGTGCACCCATGTGGAAATGTCACCCAGTGACTGAATCCTGCTCGCAGGTGGGGCCCTGCTGGTGGTCACCGCTCCCTCCTGCTGTAAACACACCAGTTACTTTTCTAAATTCTTTCACAAAGGCTCTCAGGCTGAAAGCTCTCAGAAGTTGGCGGGCATCTCGTCTCTTCTCCCTTCATGGAGAGGGAAGCAGGATGAGGAAGGCCAGAGTGTGGGGAGGTCAGGAACCAGCAGGTGGGTGGGTCTCTTGATTCCCCGTCCAAGGTTCTGTGCACCTCAGCATCTTCCCTGTGGAATTCTCTGCGGGAGCTTGTAAAAGTTGCAGATGCCCAGACCCAACTGCAGCTTCTCAAAGGATGGAAACCAGAATATGTAAAGAAGTCCCAATGATTTGAGTCTCAAGGACCCTCAGCTTCATGGGAGGACTCAGAAAAAAATAAGATGAGAGTGGATTCAATGGAGGCAGAAAGGAAGCCTGATGGGTTCGATTCCTGCAGAGCACTGGAGGGCCACCTGCGCACCATAGAAGACGGTGCCTGGGTGTGTGCACCCGGTAGCGTGCTGTTGGGAGGTGGATGGATGCAATAAAGATGGGCGAAGCATGGCCCATTAGAGAGAGCTTTGGAAGGCAGATGCCACCTAAATTCTCCAGACTCACTGCAGCTTCTACAACACCAGAGAGTGAAATGATAACCGGCATATTCAAAATGGCTCTTTGCAGGTCTGAAAGTCCAGAGCCTCATTTACATCATGGTCCATCTGTTGGGGTGACGGTGGCCCTTCTCTTCTGTCATTTTCCCTTTCTAATCAGGGCTGTTTCAAATACTCTATTGGTGAGGAGTCAGCAGTCAGGGCACCTGGTTTTTGTCCCAGCTCTGCCATTATCTGTGATGTGATTCTATTAGCTAAACCAAACTTTGGTTTTCTCGTCTTTGAAATGGGACTTTAATTCTTGCTCTGTTTGCTATCCACGCAGGGCACGCGGTGTGGCTCTATCTATGCACACACACAAGTGGCGCATGGTGCCCTATTACCCTAACTAGGAATGGCACTATTGGACTTGTTACTTCCAAATGGCTTTTCTGAATTGGTTTCTGAGTTCCAAGTATCATTAAATACCTTTCCCCCCCACCCCATGGTGTCCTAATCTTTTAACCATTCCTGCTGAAAGAATGATAGAGAAACATCCCCCACCCCTTCTCTCTAGCCACCAAACTAGCACACTCTGGAGAGTTAAGAAGGGAGAGTGAGCCAGGGGACTCCGGCCAAGAGGAGAGATTGGGAGGAGGAGGCTGGGAGTAGAACAGTTTCAGAATGAGAAGAAGGTCTTGAAGGATAGGCAGAGAGGCCAGGCCTGTGCAGTCCAGCACCATTGGCCACCTGGAGCCACTTAAATTAGTTAAAATGAAATACAATGTACAATTCAGTTCCTGGTCACACCAGTCACATTTCAAATGCTCAATACCCACATGGGGCAAATGGCTGCCATATTGGTCAATGAGGAGAGAGAACGTTTCTATCTTTGTAGAAAGTTCTTCTGGACAGGCTGCTCTAGATCTTCTTAGGGATGGACAGGGTGGTTTCCCATGACATATCCACATTTCAGCCAGAGGGCAGCCCCGTGAAGCCTGTGCACCTGCAGGCCAGGTGAGCTAGGCGGTTTCACCAAGGACTCTCAGCTGCTGTCCATCACCACCACCACCACCACCAACTCAGCCCAGGGGGAGACTAGGAATCATCCTGGGAGACACTCTCCAGGAAAAGCTTGAGTATGGAAGGTCAGAAGAGACTTATGGCAGCAGATAGG